GAACAATTTAATAATAATAATAATAATAATAATAATAATAATAATAATAATAATAATAATAATAATAATAATGAAGAATATATAAAAATTATAATATATATAAAGAAGTAATGCACAGTATAACTGCTCACCACCCAGGGACCAAGGCCTGTCCCATCCCGACAAGCAATCTCGAAACAGATAAGTTCCGACACCGCAATCCCAGACGAGTGAAAGGCCCAAAATGAGCGAGAGAAAGACAGAACTCCGAGAGACTGAGAGGCCGCAAAATCCCTCAGAAGAGAATGAAACAATTCTAACTTCCCAGGCTCTATGTATGGGGCACGACATTGCATGGTACAGAATATTCCATGGGCCTGCTTGGCCCTCAGTCCCAACTCCGAATGATAAGGGAAGTTGTGGGCCCTTTGTCCCGGCCGTGCTCCCCTCCCAGCCTGTTGTGCTCCTGCACACTGGCAAAACATGGGAAGCTGAAAGGTCCTTGATGACTCAGCACCATCTATAAACATCAGTGCACTGTCAACATTCTTCTCATAACAAACCCCAGACTAAATCCAAAACCGAGAGCTCTTCTAGCTGCTAAAAAGAAAAACTGTGTCCCAGCCAAAAGCAGGATGCTGGGTCACATGGCTTCAGGCTAATTCCTGCACCAAGACTAGCAAATGAGCTTGGACAAGGGCTAACGGTTTAAGTGCAAAATATTTAAAGTGCGTATTAAAAATAGTGAATCTAAGTTATCTTTCTTAAATTGCTCCAGCATTAAGTTCTCTTTTTGTTAAACCCCTCTATTTCTCCTCTGATCTTATCTCATTTTTACCTACAGTTCTCATAACTTCTAATAGTTTAGCTAGACCAAACACCTTGCTCCCTCTTAGACTTCCATTTCCTCGTTCGACTACTGTAATCAAGTGTCTCCACAACCTTTAACTGCCTAAACAGAGTGATTTTCTAATAATTTTAATTGTTTTCCTGCTCTTTATTTACCCTTATCATTCCTACCTCAATTCTTTCTTTTCACCACCAACTTCGGTTTTGAACAGCAGAAGGGGAGAAAGTATTCTAACTACAGCACTTTTTTCAAAGAAAAAGGTAACAAAACCTCCCTACTGCTTGGTATTTGTTTCTGTTTTATTAAACTGATAGATCATATGGAACAATCCATGATTTCTCATATCAGAAAAAAAAAATGTAATAAAGACTATATTCAATTCTTGTGTTTCTAAATGTTCCCCAGGCTATTACATAAATGTTCTGGGATTTTTTTTTAAACTAATAATTTTGCCACAGTTCCTCAAAACAAGGTACATTTCACTTGCCCTGACAAACGCTTGCCATTTGCTGATAAAAAGGATTACCTGTAGCTGGGTGTTTAACATGGAATGCTTCTTTCCTAAAATAAAGCTCTTCTTCAAGTATTTCTTTAACTCTTCTAGATGGCTCAACGTATACAAATTTCTTCCCTGTTAGTAAAGCATATTACAAAAGAACCAATTATTTTAAACCTCCTGAACGCTAACACGCTTTGCCAAATGTGATGTCATTTTACGCTGCTCTGTCTTTGACACGCTCGAAAACGAATCATTTATAAATACGTGGTGCTGCTCAGCCAGGCCCTGCTCAACATGGAGTGATTCCACACAACGGGACCACGGTGGGTCAATGTGAACGGGGAGTGCTGGTGGGCTGCAGCGCGGTGAGGTGGCTCTCCCATCCAAGGCCACCCCAGGGCACTGGAGAAGACCCAGCCATTGTGTCTCCCCGTGGCAAACAGCCCTAGGTGGGGCCGAGCATGGAGGAGGTCTCCAAGCAGATGTCCTCGCTGAAGGAGGTCTCCAAGGAGCTGATGAGGGGTTAAGGGACCTCATGGCGGCAGGGGAGTCCGTGCCTGAGAGGGCTCTACCCACACCCCTGGGTGGAAAGGTGCGCGAGGCCGAGGGAAGCGAGAAGCCACCAAGCAAGGTGGCCGCGGGGGATCAGTGGGGACTTGAGGGGGGAAAGGGCTCCGCTCCCCCGGGGGAACACGCCGGGGGGCCGGGCCGGGGCGGCAACGGAGGCCGCAACGGG